CAAGTAGGCCCCTATACAACCCAATATTCTATCTACTTAAGGGGGACTATATATCCTAAACCCTACACCCTAAACCCTACACCCTAAATCCTAAACCCTAAATCCTAAACCCTAAACCCTACAGGGTTCATGTGGGAGTCATGTACTATCAGCTCTGAGTCCTTCATGGCAGTAACACACCAGCCTCGACGTTAAGCGTGAACCTTTAAACCCAGACTCTGCCTTTAGGGTTTAGTGTTTAGGGTTTGGAATCCCATCAATGAATTTCGGTTTCATAACAGATATAACAGATATAAAACGGTAGTGGTCTTTTTACAAATGGTTTTGGAGTTTCATGCCACTTTGAGGCAGGGCACTGCGGAAGCCTAAATGATTACTCACATTCTGGTCTTGCACCCAAAAAGTATTAATGATTATCTAGAACCTGGTTGTACTACCCTGTACCATCCTTATGTAATCTTAACATAATCTACAGTAGCTATCACTACAACGTAAACTACTCATAATTACAACCCAAAAAGCCTGAGGCACGCAAGAGTCGCGGGGGAGCAGACTACACAGCGCTGCCGAGTGACCAGCCTCAGGTGTGCCAGCAACTACATGGATGTTTAAAGTCTAGCGATTCAGTTTTAGGGGTTAGGGTTTAGGTTTAGGGTTGGGAAATTTATAGGGATTAATAGGTTGGATTTGACGGTGAAAATGGGGGTTTAGGGCTTGTTGGGGGTTTTTATTTGGACTGAGAATTCAAGGATGAAGTCTTCAAAGATTTAGGGGGCTCCCGAGCAGTGTAGAATGGACAATTTATCATACTTAAGGCTATGTCCAGACATGTACACGTGCAGTGTTTTGTGCAGCGGCTATGTACCATTGTCGGTTCAGCCTCCATAGGTGCATTGCCAATGAGGCATTCAAGTGCTCCAAATGATCGGATTTCACCTCAGCCAATATCCATAAGACAAGATGCTCTTGGATCCGTCACCTCCAACCCTTTCTAGCCTCTATAAATTGTATTCCCATGTTCCATACAACCAAAACCCAAATGCTCATTGTCACCATGTGCAAGGCAGTCACGCCCACACAGACGGCGGGACTGAGCTGAACGCGCCTAAGGTTCAAGAATTGGGTTTACGGGGTTTAGGATTAGCAGGGAATAAGGAAGTATATTATATTGGGGTAATCTCGGAATTTTACAGGCATTACATAGAGATTATATAGGTATATAGGGGTTACATANNATAGGGATTATATACGGATTACATAGGGATGATATTGCATGAAGACTGCTTCCAAATTCGAGACCAGCGCAGATCTGAGCAAGCATTGACAAGCGAGAAGCGCCAATAGGCCTGCAAGCCTGCGCCCATGCCGTTTGCTTAGGGTTTAGGGCTTAGA